CCAAAGAAAAAAAGAAGCAGGGAAAGGAGCTGAGACAAGGCTGGGCTCATTCCATTTTAAATCACAGAATTTCCAGTGATCCTGCCATGACTCGTTCTAAGAGATGCAAGGGGGTGATTTGAAAGTGACCCCCAGGCCGTTAGGAACTGCTGCTCCCAACCAGCTCTTACACAGCCCCTCTGTTGCCAGTGCTCCTCTGCTAAATCTGTGCCCACTAAACCCTGGGGCCCACCGGGCACCTCTGCACGCCCAGGGCTGGCACAGAGCACCTGCCCCCACCCAAAAAGTTACATGATCTTTTCCCAGATCAGCCTGGGGGTGCCCTCTAGCTCCACAGGCTGTGTGCCTGAGCCACGAGTGCCCCAAACACACAGCCTGGCTTCCATGAGGTCAGGCTGGGACTGTGCCACACGGTCACAGAGACCTGGTCTTGATGCTCCTTGGTAGTTGCAGCCCAGAGCAGCAGCAGGGCTGTAAGTCCGGCAGACAGTCCCTTTCGGGCCTTGTCAGGGACAGCTTGCAGCCAATTGTGGACAGGAACCAAGGCTGAGGACATTTTAAGTCTTGCAAAACAGCAGTGGAGGCTCCCTGGAGTGTCTGGGTGAGGCACGTGGGTTTCAGGGAAGTGTGGGATCTGGAGATGGGAGAACACACCCCAGACAGCGCCGGGGGCAGCGCAGGCTCTGCAGCCTGATCCCCACGCCTGGCAGCTGACAGGGGCTGCTGGCTTGTTCAGTCACTAAGAAACAATAAGGGAACTATTTATGGGAAAGTAACTGAACTCCAGAGGAACCAGGAAGTGAGCAGGGCTGGGGGTGCTCTAACCCCCCCCTAGAGCAGCAAGGGATGTTCTACTGAGGAGCTGAGCCCAGGACTCCCCTGTCCCCTCCACTCCCCAAAGCCCCTTGCTCTCCATCCCCTCTTGGAGGCAATTATAGCAAAGCACCTGGGTGAGACAAGTTCCTGCCCCATGCTGGGCCCAGGGAGCACGTCTTCGGGCTGCTCCTTGCCCTGCACCCCAAATCATCCAGCAGAGCCTGGGAGAGGAGGGCTCTGGTTTCAAAGATAAGCTGTGCAGTGTTTGGTTTCAAGAGTCCACCACGCAACACAGCTGATCGATCTGTGTTTCTTTAGCTGGCTCACCACGCTCACAGAAATGCAGAGGTTTTTTGCTGGGCTGAGGATCCTCAATTTCTGTTTAAACACCTACCTAGTCTCGAGTTCCAAGGGTTTTCTACAAGTCACACAATCCAGCCAGTGGCACAAGAAGATACAGAAGGCCAAACAGCACTCAATCATGGAAGCGGGTACAGAAGATGAACAACAGGGCCAAGTTTGAAGGAACCTACACCAATAAATGCAGCTCAGTTCATTTATGGCATCACTTGTTTTGAAAGCTGTGGCTGATCTCACATTTGCAAGAACAAGATACTGTGTAGCACAGAGCCATGGTCTGTGGGCTGCATTGTAGACATAGCTGGGGCCATGGAAAATGTGAAAGGGACACAAAGAAACAATGAAAATGATTGGCACAAAGACTGCAACGAGACTCAACAGCACCACTGGCATTTAGTTTGCTTTCAGCCCGAGAGGAGGGGGGAGCCTGACAGATACAAAAGTCCATTGAAAAGGTGTTTGTCTGAAGAAGCAGTGCCAAGACTTGGTTAGACTGGGCTCCAGCTGACTTAAAGACCTCAGGGGAGGGGTTATGGAGCTCTACTGCACTGACCTACAGAGAGGAGGAGCTATGTGGGCACTCACTAAAAAGCCACAGCCAGGGATATGGCTCAGGTTGGACAGGGAAGTTAAGATAAAAGGAGATTTGCGTAAAGACATAAAGGCAGCCTGGGCAGTTAAAGAAAAAAAAAAAAAAAAGTGGCAAGCTGAGATCAGAGCAGACAAAAAAGTCACAGGACCAACATAAAATAGAAAAACATACAAAAAATAGGAAAAGAAGCAGGAAGCAAAAAGGAGGAGGGTCACAAGCCAAGTCACAAGCCAGCCCATCTGAATTTCAAAGCCTCCACTAGCTTTGAAAGCAGTGGTATCCAGCTTTACTTGCTCTAGACAAAAGAGCAAGCTTCCCTTCTGGGTGCAGCTGGGCTGTGCACTGCACAGTGTTGTGACACCAGTTACTGCCTCTGAAGCCAGAGGTGGCAATGGGCACACCCTGACATTGATGTGCAAGAAAGCAGCAAGAACCATGCAGAACATAGCGAGTCCCAACTTATACCTCTCAGCTGAAGAATGCCTCTCAGAATAACATGTAGTACCTTAGTTGTGAGTTCAATTAACTACATTTCATTTTCTGTATCAGAGGAAGGGCTGGGAGTTCCACTTATTTACAAAAAAGCAGCGAATGTCAGGATCAAAATGGGGTTTAGATGCCTCAGTCGACATTATACACCATGGAGAGAGTGGGACAAGTACAAACATGGTGCTCTTGAGTAGATGCTAGAGAGCTGAACTAGAAAAGCAGCACATCAAATACCTCCTTTCAAGCTCTCCCTCTCAAAAGGCTGGGAAAAAAAAAAAGTGTTTGGTAGAAACAAGCACCTGCTGTTCAGCGCGGGGAGCCGAAGACAGAGGACAGCTTCAGGATCTTTGTGGAATGAGTTTATGCAGCAAGACAGGCCATGAACATTGGTCTCCTCCTCCTGAAAACAGCAAACAAGAATAGCGCTTTTCTTCTCCTCCTGTTTGTGCAGCTGTAAGTCTTGCTGGCAAGAGTGGAAGGGGAATGAGCTTGAATCCTGAGGAAAAAAAAAAAGAAAACCAACAAAAAGCAGTGAGTTCCTGGGAAAGCAGCTTATCTCCCAGACTTGTGTGCTAGGGCTTTTGCTTTGTTCCTAGATTGGAGTTCAGACTTATCATTAGCATTCCCTGCTCACTCCTTCCTCATCCTCTTTATGTGCTAGTCCCAAGTGTAGGGTTTTTTTAAATAATAAATGGGGAAAAATGTGACAGAACAACTAAAAAAATACAACAGGCACATACCAGCTACCACAGCACACCTCAGCTGAGGAGAAGATACCAGCTACTGGTGGGCAAAGCCCATTTTTTCACAAAGTTTGGATAGAATTGTAACTTACTGCCCATTTGTTGATGATTAGCTCTGTCTGTGCTGTTCTGGCAGCTCAGAGGGCTCCTCTTTGCTACAGGCAACAAAGCACCTTGTTGAAAGAACATAGACCTGTTACACCCAGGCACCTACTTACCATATTTGTTTTCAAATCCAAGTTAAAAAACCAAACAAACCAAAACAACAAAAAGCAGGAGAAATTGTTTTCCTAAATAAAGTGAAAACAACCTCAGAGACACTTTGTGCCAGAACTATCCAGACATAATGTGCTCAACCAAGTTGAGCCCTGCCCTGGTGGCACATCCAGCTGCTGAGCTGAGCACCTCTTCACCCAAGAAGGGAACTGGTTTAACCAGTCAAAGTACAGAGTTTGGTCTTTTTTTTTAAGGTAACAGTTACAGAGACACAGAAACTTGGTTTTACCATAGAAACACTTCTAGTGTCAGTATTTATTTTTACCTTAATATACATTTATACAGGCCATAATAAAAAGGCTATTATGCAACAGTTTGGTGAGTTATTACCTAGTTTCAAGAGTAATGCATGCAATTACAAAGGAGAGGTAGAAACACCGTATTAAAGACCTAAAAATACAAACATTATATAAACAAACACTTTCAAATTAACTGTTGGAATTTCATACAGATAAATAAGGTAAAAAGTACATTACTCTGTCAAAGTAAAGGAAACACATGGTTATCCGAACATGGAAACAATAGTTTGATGTGTAAGCCCTGTACAACTTTGTCAAATAGTTCAGACCACTGTGTTGAAGAGGATTAAAATGATTTTTTTGTCCTGGAGAATGGTTTATTCAAGTATTCGAGCAGTTGTGTAACGAAAAAAAAAAAGAGTCCCAAAAATAAAGTATAGGAACCATTTCCAGAGAAGCTGATCTGCCTAAATACTTTGCAAATCACTGTCCTGATGATCAGATGGGATGCTTGAAATGATAATGCCTATAAGGCTAAATGAAGCTTCCCACCTCTCCCCCAAAATGCACACAAAAGAATCCTGATTTTTCACACACAGTCTGTAGATATTCTACATCAACTTACCAGCATCTCAAACCTCACCATTATTTTCTGGTTTTGCATGGTTCCTGGCAGAACCTTTCAGTTTACAGTATTTCTTGTAATACTGCCCAAGAAACAAACTACAGAGAACTGTCATTACAACCCTAGAGACTGCAGGCATTAATGCACATACTGCATGCACAACAAAAGATGCAACCAAATCTATAGAAAAAGCAAACAACCAGCAACTCAACATTGCTATTACTGAGAAAGTCCAGAGCAGTAGTTACTCAAGTATTAGACAAACAGGTAAAAAAATGGAAAGGTTCACATGAATACAAGTTTTTACAGTCTTCTAGAAGCTACATTTGAAATTCTGAGAAGAACTTTATGTACACTGAAATGAAATTCAGCCAAGTCCATTGTGCCTTCTTTCTCTTTTTTTTTTTTAATATATAGTTCTTCAAAAATGAATATACAGTTGCTTTAGTAAATTAGTGCAAAACAAAATATTTTGGAAGAAGATAATCAAATTGTATTCCACATCAGCTGAAAACCCACTGGGGATTTTGCACAGATGGAGCACAGTTCCTTCCATCACCTTCTCTCCATCCCTCCGTGTGACAAGCTGAGCCATGTTTATAACATGTGAGCTCTGACACGAGCCACCTTAGCCCCCAAAGCTTCAAAACCAGCACTTACACATGATGAGGGTTTCCCAAATTCACTCCACCACATTTCACTGACAACTTCAAAATATTTTTCACAACATTTGAGTGAGTCTTCTGAGGGAAATGTCTTTTTGTACCTGATGCAGAAGGGTCCACACTCTATACATCTCATGAGGAAAATAAAACCCTGATCATTCAAGTCAAAGCATACATACAAGGATCAGTTTGAAATGTGAAGAGAGATTCTTTTAAATTCTGTTGCTAGGAAGAAGAAGGAGCTGCTGGATCAGTAAGGCAAGTGTACTTTTGGAATTTCTCCTCTTTGAATATGCTGCTGTTTCTTTGGTAGTCACCACAGAACTGTAAGAATCATCTTCCACGTGGGGCAGAACAAGGACAACAATGAAGCTGTAGCAAAAAAAGTGCAGTATCACTGATGTGGTCCCTTATGTTCACACCATCTGGTCCTCAGGATATTCTACTGCTCATAAACAGCCACTGTGCTATAGCAAAGTGCAGAAAGCCTTCGCTCCACGCTAGACTTATCTGAAAAGAGAGAGAGGGAAACCAAGGGGTGACTTCAGTGTTACAGTGTATTAATTCCATGTCTTTTTAATTATTTTAATTATTCAACATGAACTTACACTTGTGTACGTTTTCTATATCTGCAGGGTCTTGCAGGATTTTTGTCAGTCCCTCCAGCAGGAGGGCTGCTCGGTGGTAGCGATATGAAATATCTTCAGTGTGCTGAAACATCTCATCCAGAGCTGCTGACTGAACCTGCAACCATTCAGGAGATTCACTTACAGAAACTGCATTAGGCAAGTAATGAAATGAAAAATTCAAAATGAATGGGATAAAGGTGTCCTTAAGAAACTATTTTTGAGCCTCAATTTAGCTGATCTCCTGTAACTGTGAGATAACAAGGTCTGAGAGAACATAGTGCTTGTGTTAACTAAGGGTGTCCTGACCAGCAATTTTTCATCTTTTGTGTTTACATGTGTTACAACAACATATGAATAAATATGCTTTTTCTTATACCTACACCTTCTCTTGAGAAGAAGATAAATTAATTGTGGTCGGCTACATCATCACCAGGGTTAAGCACATTTGATTTTCCTTTTGTGTGATACCTGTGTTAAAAGACTTCCCTCTCATCAAAAGAAAAACCAGCAGTGTCATTTCCTGTATAATTACTGCATCTGCTCCATGGCAGACAAAGTTTAATCAATTACATTAAAAAGCTTCCATGTTTGCTACTGTTTTTGATTTGCATGGACAGGTTCCTCAAATCAACCTGGTGAACTGATGAAGCTCCTTCTGTTGTCCCCTGTGCTTTAAGGAAGCCTTGGTGCACGAGGCTGCAGCACACATTTCCTAGTGTTTATGTACCAAATATGCTGATGTAGGGGAAATGTCCCTGAGGGACAGCAGCTGCCAAGAACTTTAGCCACAGTTAAGACAGGGCAGGAAAAAGAGTGAAAGACTAACAAAAATTACCATGACCAGAGTTCTGGAAACATACATTCTGTTTTCTGGTTATGTAGAAGAGGTATGTGAGGGATGAAGCAATCTCAGTGTCCTGTCCTTTAGGTACAAGGGGTGACTTACCATTTCTACAGCACAGCTGTAGATGAGTTTCTCTGCAGTCACACTGTTGATTTCATCAATGAACCTTTGCTTGTCCGAAAAGAAACGATTCAACTTCTCCGTCAATTTCTTGCACATGTTGATACACAATTTGTATCTCTCATTGAGGCTTTTCACAACTGCAAGAAAGGAAAGGACAAATTTAGAAAAAGGAAATCCAAAACCTCAAAAAACTCACCCACACAGGCAAACAACATAGCCCAAGTTCAACTTTTCCCACCACTGGCAAAGTCAGCCTGTTTCAACTTGTGCTTTGAATGTCTCTTTACTCTGCCACTCCTGTGAATTAAGTATATATTAAAACCATTCCATTTTAAGTTAATAAATGCTCATTTTTCAGCAGTTTCTGGTTGTAACTTTGTTTATTATCAGAATTGTGCAATTGTACATATCTACAATTCTCTTGTACAGAAGAAAGCAAACAAATTTTGCAATGTGAGCTTGTTAAGTGATGTCTCAGCCAAGAAAACACACAAACAAAGCAAATGATGTAACATCTACCTTGCTTAACAGCAGTGGATGGGTTCAGCTTCCCTGATTTGACCTGTGCTTTGGCAAGGTGCAGAGAAGATGCTAGTAACTGGGCAGCCTTCATGTACAATACCAGCTGCTCTACTTGTCTAGGAAAGGGGAAAAAAAACCACCACAGTTATATATCAAAACCTTTCTTGAATGCATTTGAGCCACAACCAAACACTATTTTTTAATCCCAAGCCTACACAGGACCCAGCAGCAAAGACAGATGTTTAAAATGCAACTCCACCCCTCCCTTCCCTTCACAAACACTGTCACGGGTTGAGAGTACATCTGCTCATCTAGTAGCTGCAGCAGCAGCAAATACAAGCTGCTTTAATGTGGATATTTGAAAAAGGAACATTTATCTGTGAGGACTAACTGCCCGAGGTCAATGTCTTACCACAAGTGACTGGGTGTTCTTTTCTGGCAGCATCATTTCCTATGCCCCTGGAATTCTCAGTTGAGAAAAGCAAACACTTTGCAAGGGTTTGGGTTTTTGTTTTTTTCTTGGTTTTTTTGTTTGCTTGCTTTTTGCAGGAAGACAGCAGGAAGTGGAACTGCCCTTTCCCACCGCTCCAAATATCTCATGTTTCTCTCTGCTCTTGATTTTATATTAAGGCTAATGGGTTCCACTGACAAAAGGTCAAATTTGGACACTCCTTCCTTCCCAACCTCCACCTCAGTGCTACTGCTGCAGCCTGGTCAACAGGAAAAGATGATGGCTCAGATCTGACAGAAGCTGGGACATAAACATCCAAGCTTAGAACTGCAGTGCTGCATCTCAAGCCTGAAGTCCTCACCACTTTCCCCAGCTTATGTGGAAGGACAGAAAACCCTGTCCTTTTATTTATCTGATAGCAAATGTCAATCCATCCTTTGCTCTGTCTGATCTGCCTTCAGTTGTTAAAAAGTTACTCCTCTAAAATATTCTATATGGTAAAACAATCACTCCCCACAAAAAAGGTACAGTTTGAATACATTTTTGTTGTGTTCAACATTCACTAATTCTCTTTATACTCTTTGACTGCATACCTACCCCCATTCCTTGCTTAGCTGGCTGATCTGATCAACAACTATGCTCTCCTGGATTTGGTACAGAGACACAGCAGAAGTGCACAGGTCTGGGTTTCCTCCTCGGACTGCTGTCAGATCCAGAACACATTCCGTAAATGTCAGCATCATGTTTAGATGACGCAGTGTGTCTGTATGTTCTCTCTGTCAGAGGGGAAGATGACAACAATTTAAGCATTGTAAGCCATAAGACAAGAACAAAAGTACACTTAAATGCCTTGCTAAACACTTGAGGATTTCTTGGTATGTCAATTCTGTGCAGGAATCACATTGTGGTAGAGTCAGCACTAGGGATTACAGAACCAAATGGGTCCGAACAGATTAACAGATACTAATTTGTTCTTTGTTAATGATTTCAAAATACTGTAGCTTCTTCTTTCAACAAAGGCAAAGGAATTAGGACATGGAGTTCTATGTTTGTTGAAATCTGAGCAAGTAAAGGACTCAAGTGGGACATACTACTTGTTATTACATTATCAGCAATCCAAAGTATGCTTGGCACTTGTACCAGAAGCCAGGAGGAACATTTGACTATTATTATAGAACAGACTTGATACCTACAAGAGAACTGATCTAAAACTTCACACTGATCCAATGTACACTGAGATCTGGAATTGCATTTTCTTAAAAGGTGGCTGTTGCCAAAGTTTACAATATAAACTAATTAACTTCAATTTGAGCTAACAACTTGCTGCTCCTGGTGACTAAAACAGATATTACATGCTTAGTCTGCTAAAAAAGTTAACCTTCAAAACTAATTAAACATATCTTAGCAATATTTATGATCCTTTAATTACTAATGCAGGACTACATGCACATTAAACTCTATCTGTGGGAAGAACATAGTGTACCATCAAACATGAACATTCTAACATCTAACACATAAATTCAATAGGGGATCCAAACACCTTCCAGCAAGATGTGAATGAGAAAACAGAACAGCAATCTGTCTTGAGAAATTCCCAGTCCAAGGATAGCATTCTGGTGAAAGACCACCCCAATTTGTATTTTTAAAGTGTCACTCCTCCACACTTCTTAAGAAACACAAGACACTCTTCCCACAATTAGGATTTAATGTCATCCACTGACTGTGAAGAAGCAGTTAAAAACAATGCCCAGAGGGATACTGCTGCTGTCAGCATCCACATCCAGAGACTTGGCATTAAAACAGAGGCCTCTTTGGAAGGCTCTGGTGAACAAAAGCAGCCATGTTCCTTTGGTTACCTCTTCAAATACACAAAATGCCAGGGACAACTACCAGAAAGAAACTGGCCACTATTGATCCAGGAATATTTTCAAGATCTTAAAAAGGAGTATGTGAAATAGCAAAGAGGAAAGGATGAGGTGCACTGAGCAGTCCTGTTTGTAGCATGTCTCCGTTTGAGCAGCATTATACATTCTAAAACATTAAATTATTTTTTTCTATACCTCCATTAAAGTTTCCTCAGGCAATTCAGGAGCTTCAAAAGTGATAAAGCCCTCTAAGCTGGGAGGCGAAGTACCATAAGGCATGTATTTCAGACTTGGAGCTGCCTCGGCTCCGGGAGGAGAAGAACCCATATAAATACCAGGAGGAGAGCCCATATATACACGGCCACTAGTAGAGCAGAGAGACCCTCCAGAACTGTTTGATCCAACTACAAAAAATGAAAAAAATAACAAACACATTCAGTCTCACAGGTTGTTCCATCTGGCAGCGCCGGGGCTGCGGATGAGAGCAAACGGCAAATCAACAGTCATCACAGACCCAGTCCTGGGAGGCTCTCCTCAGTGTGCCTTGCATCCCTCTGTAGAGACTGCAAAGGCTACACCGTAATCAACAGTGACAATTCACAACACACATTCCAGGAAATGGCTGGCAAGGATGCCAGGGCAGGGAGTCCAACAGTACAGACCAAAGGCTGTGCTGTCGCTCGCAGGAGCTGCTGCTGCAGAGCCCTGTTCCCCTGAGTGATGAAGGCCTTTTCCTTGAGATCTCTGGCATTTGGCACATGGCTGACACGTGCTGAAGGACAGACAGTCAGCTCACACCCCCTGAGTGCTGTTCCCTGTACAATGCACAGCAGCAGGCAAAAATGCAGAACCAGAAATCTAACTTTTCCTCTCCACCTTCATCACAGAGATCTATTATGTTGGCTGTGGTGGAGCTGTGTGCACAGGAGGTATCACTCTGCTGCATGGCACAGCTGTGCCTCTGGCCCTCTCTTTAGGAGAGAAAAGGCAGAAGTTGTCTGCTATTAATCTCTGCTTTCCAGAGCACTTTTTCTGTATGGCCTAGAGGACCTACTGTGTAAGGCAGTAACCAGGTTGCTGTCCCAGGATGCAGACAAGCCTAAATACTGAGTTTGAGAACAGCCCCCAGTTGTCAGGTAATTCTTACCTGAGGTGGTTCTTGTTCTGAGGACCATATGGGTGCAGGTAGGGGGGGTGGCACTGCTTGGAGGGGACCCAACAGTAAACATGACAGCCCGAGAACTTGCTCCACTTCCCATAGAAGGAGGTGCCATTGCAATTCCATAGGCTACTGCTGGAGCTGGAAGAGAAAACTTCAGCCAGTTAGTCCCTGTTACAGATAATCACACCAATAATTAATCATACACAGCAAACTGGAGCACTGCAACACAATGTGCTTTGATGTAGATTCAACACTTGGACTAGTTGGAAGTTCTGACAGCAAATAAAAGCAGCTGAGTGGACAGTCTTGGTGGTACACAAAAGGAGTTGAGATGCAGTCCACACAAAGCTTTTTCCTTCCATCTGTCTCCCATCTCAGATGTCTGTCCCATCTCAGTTATTTTTAAAGCTATGCTAAAGACATGGAACAAATCCCCTTAAAGATTAAAAAAACCCTTCTGTTCCAAGGCTAAAAATTGTCAATTATTGAAGTTGGAAGTAGAACTCTTATCTAGTTGGCACTCCCAATAAAGGACTAACACATGGAGATGGTTTGAATGTATCAACCTTTTCCTTACCTGTATCCATTGGTCGCTCTGTATTGAGGCTGTCTGTGCTGCCTTGATATAACTGCCCACCCAAGGTGGTCTTTACCTGTTGATCTGACAGCTTCCCAGTACTAACAGACCTAGACAGAAAAATGTATTAATCCACAACAAAGTTCTTCAGTAAGATCTTCCTATCTGACTTTCAGATTCTTGGTATTATAAAGAATACTCTAACAAAAGCACAGAAAGTCTTGAAATCTTATCATGGATCTACTGCAACAGAGCTGACCATGAAAAGACCTTTTTCTCTTAGAAATTTATATTGTAAGTTTTGTCAAACAGATTTTCAAGCAAAAACTGAACAGGCTTCAGAAGCAATGAAATTCCCTCCACTCAATCAAAACAAAAGGGTACTAGACAGCAACACAAAGCTCTACAGGAAGTCCGTGCTATATTTATAGGCAGAACAAAATGTTTTTCTGTTTTATACACCAAACCTCAGCATCTCCTCACAGCTCACTTTTCACAGGCTCTTCCCCCTCCAAGCTGCTGTGTGCAATGTACATTCTTCTGCCAAGTTACCTACCCAAGTCTACAGGCTACAAATATTCCAGTGCCTACCTGCCAAAAGTGGTTTTGCTGTGCTGTTCTCCTGCCTGCTTTTCACCTCCTTGGGTCGAGTGGAAGTGCCCAAAGTCCCTTGGGTCAGTGATGTCTTTAGGCTGCAACGGGGCATCTACAGAGCCCTGGCGATTAGCCAAGGCCAGCAAGTTGGAGGATGCTTGAGTTTTAGGTATTTTGAAAGGAGCTGTTGCCTTTAAGGAGCAAGACCAAGAACAGACCAAAAAAAAACCACAAACAAAGCCAAAAGTTAGAAGCACAAAATATTCTTGAGAAGTTTCAGGCAGTGTCACCACATTTTACTGACAGTGGCAAACTTCACAAACCTTAGTGGGAGAGCCAATGATGGTTGGTAATGGAGTTTTGAACAACCAGTCTGAGCTCCTGGGTGATGATCCCATATGTTTGGTAGGTGATGTTCCCAGGCTACCTGGCCTGCTTGGCTGTGGAGAATGACTGTATCCATACCCAGCATAGGATGGGCATACTGGGTCTGAATGCTGCTTTCTGAGCTTCTGCTTGTTTTGGTAAATATCTGTGAGAGTTGGTGCACTCTGCAACCTTGCTCCCATCAACAGTGACTGTGGAGACTGGGATGGTGGTATTGGAGAACCTGTGGGGAGGAAAAACAGTGCAGAACAATCACACTTGCAGTGCTTGGAAGCTGTATTGATGAAGCCAAAAAATGGCAGAGATCAAGATGAAACTGAAGAGAGATGGGACTGCAAAGAGCATGAGATACATTTGATCATCAACTCACTAAATGGCAAGGAGAATGGATTTAGCCCATGGGCTATCTGGACTAAGGCTGCAATGCACTGATCAGCTCAAGCTGCCAAACAGGCAGAATTTCAGGATGACAGGTGTACTGGCAGCTGCAGTACTTCTGGCAAACTGCAGCAAGACAAATAAAGTGGTTGGATTCAGCAG